CTTTCTTGGCAGCCAGGGCACACTGCTGGCTCATGGTTAACCTGTCGTCCACCAGGACTCCCAGGTCCCTCTCCGCAGAGCTGCACTCCAGCAGGTCCGTCCCAAGCCTGTACTGGTGCATGAGGTTGTTCCTCCCCAGGTGCAGGACCCAAAACGTCTATATATGCTATACTCATAACAATACATTTATTAGCTAATTATAAATGTTTCAGACTGCATTTTCACCATTTCTCTTGGGAGACTGTCCCACAATTCAGACTGCTAAGAACTTAACTTCTCAGTGGCTCTGACAGACAAATATTCAGTTAATCCGGCTGTAATGGTTTAATATATTCCAGCTCCCGTGAATGAGCTCAGATCCTCTGTTGGAGAGTCCTTCCTTAGGAGTAAAGCAGCAGAGCAGAGTGTGCCCATCCCTTCGGCTGTGGCTCGGTACATGGCCAGCAGTGCTTCCGCTCCCAGCTGGGCAGGTGCCCTGACCACAGGGTTACCAAACAGACAAAGCCACCCTGCCTCCTCTAACACGTGCCTTTGCTTCGAAGAGCTGGTGGCTTGCGCTGCTTGCAGATTGAAATGCTGAATGAGAGGGACTACATTAAACACGTTGCCGGGACCAGTATTTCATATTGTCAGGCAACTTTCTGCTCCGCGTGTAGGAACACTGTGGGGACACTAAATCATCCAGTCCTCTTTTCTGACCATGTCAGGGGGATATGTAGCTCTTCCTTCTGGCTCTTCTAACCACCTTACAGAGGCCAGGCTCTTCCATTTGATGCTCATCGGAAAAATCAGCTGCCCAAAGCATGCTAGCCATTTTCAACCTGTTAGCCTTTACTTGACATTATCCTGTTCCAGTCTGTCTCAGTACCTTTTACCCCTAAACTGAATCAATGTATAAGTAAGGAAAAATTGCATTAGGAACTCAATATGAGACAGAGGTACAAGTGCATAAAGATCAGATTTTTACTGTTCATACCAAGAATAAACTTCTCAAGAAGTTGCTGAGTCTGTCCTGCTCACCCAGCCAGCTTTCTAGACTCCCTGAGATCAACAGTTCTGAGGCTTGTTATGACAAATCTGTTGAGATTAAATTTTACTTTTTAATGTGAGTAGCCTTCAATGAGGTACTAGAAACAGTTTCATGGTGGCATAATTTTCTGTTTTGGGAGAGTCAGCCAGCTCTCCACAGAAGTGAACACTGCATGTATGAGAGCAAATTCATAGTACAGGACTCATGAATCAGCCAGACAGGGTCAGGTTCAGGCCCAGAGCGTCTGTCTGTGGATGGTGGGACTAAGCTCCTTTGCCCAGGTTTCGGTCACAACCCAAGGCAGGTCATGACGAGGGGCTGTCCTCAAGGTACAAAGGATAGAAACACAGGCAAAACCACATGCGGCAGTATGCAGAGAATAGCTGAGGCTACAGCGACTTGCTTAGATCTGTGTGAGTTGGGGTTTTAATATCTCCAGGGATGGAGACTCCACAACCTGTCTCAGAAACCTGTTCTAGTGTTTGATCATCTGAAGAGTTAAAAAAAATAAATTCTTACGTTGAAATGGGTTTTCCTTTAACTTGTGCCCATTGCCTCCTGTCCCTGCATTGGGCACCAGTGAGCAGAATCTGGCTCCTCTTTCTTACACCTACCCGCCCCACAACCCCATGAAATATTTACACATGCTGATGAGAACCTCCTCAGCTTTCTCTTCTCCAGCCTGAACAGCCCCAGCTCTCTCAGCCTCTCCTTGCATTTCAGATGCTCCAGTCCTTTAATCATCTTCTTGACTGTTTACTCAACTCGCTCCAGAATATGAATGTCTGGTTACTCCTCCCCAAGGACTGCAAAAACTTGCCATTTTCCTTTGCTGAATGCTGTGAGGTTCCTGTCAGTCCAACTCTTTAGACTTTGCAGGTCTCTCTGAATGGTAGCACAATCCCCTTGTGTTTCAGCCACGTTTCCCTGTTTTATATTGCCTTCAGACTTTTGTGGCTACAATCTGTTTCTCTGTCAAGTCATTAATGAAGAGGTTAAACAGTATAGGTTCCAGTATCTCCTCCTGGGGAACATCAAAAGTGACTTTGTGCCACTAATCAGAAACTTCTGGGTCCAGCAGTTCAGCCAGTTCTCAGTTCACTTCACTCTCCATTTATATAGCCCATGCTTCATTAGTTTGTCAATGAGGATTTTGTGGAAGACAGCGCTGGAAGCCTTAATAAAAGTACAATCAGGATCCACTGTTCTCCCTTCATCCAACAATCCAGTGATTGTATTGTAGAAGGCTGTTAGATTGGTCAAACATGATTTAGCCATTGTAAATCTGTGCTAAATACTCCTGATAGCCTTTTTGGCCTTCACATATTTGGAAATGGCTTCCATGACGATATTCTTCACTGCCTTCCCAGGGATCAATGTGAGGCTGACCAGACCATGGTTCCCTGGATCCTCTTCCTTGCCCTTCTTGAAGATGGCAGTGACAGTTGCTTTCTTCCACTCTTTAGGAACCTCTCCCAGGCACCGTGACCTTTCAAAGATAATCAAGAGTGGCATCACATCAGCCAGCACCCTTTAGCACCCGTGGCTGCCTCCCATCAGGTCCCATGGACTTACTTTGTTTAAATGTTCCCTGACCTGATCCTCTTCCACCAAGGGTAAGTATTCCTTGCTCCAGACTTGCCCTCTGGTCTCAGAGGCTTGGGATTCCTGAAGGGTTGTCTTCCTAGTAAACACAGAGCTGAAAGTGGCATGGAGTACTTTGGGCTTTTCCGTGTCCTTTGTCACTAGGACCCCTACTGCACTTCGCAGTGGACCCACATTTCCCCTAATCTTTCTATTGCTGCTGATAGACCTGTAGAAGCACTTTCTGCTTCCCTCTGCCTGCCTCACCTGATTCAGCTCCAGGTGGGCTTTGGCTTTCCTCACTCCATCCCTATACAATCAGACAGTGTCTCTATACTTGTCCTGGGACCCCGTCCCTGCTTCCACCTCCTCTATGGTTCTTCTTTGCATTTGAGTTTTGTCAGGAGCTCCTTGCTCATCCATGCTGGCCTCCTTCTGCCTTTGCTTGATTTAGTTGGGACAAATAATTCTTGAGCTTTGAGAAGATGATGGGTTTTGAATATGAACCAACTCTCCTGAACCCTTTTTCTCTCAAGGACCATATCCCAAGGGACCAGGACCATTTTGCCTGCTGGTCTGGTGATGCTAGATCACAGCTGCTGTGCAGCAGCAGTGTTTATATGAGATGTAAAGCCCCTTAGCATGCACAGCAATCTCTGTCTCACATTAATCTGACTGACCAGATGATGAAAACCTCTCAGGAATCTGACCTCTCCATGATGGGTCTGACTTTCTAAATGTGTGCTGATCGCACAGTTACAGTGAATCCAATGGCTTCTGCACTTACTTTCCTTAAACAAAGTTTAGGTAACAATTAGGAAGGTGACAATTAGAATTTGGCAGTCTCCATACTTTAGGAAAAGTGGTTTTCCACTGACACAATCTGGGAACCTTTGGCTTATGTCTGCCATACAAATTCTGAATTTCTCCACTATCTGTTAAGATAAAACTGGACAATAATTTAATTTTTATCTCATGGAAGAGTTTTATATTTTGATATACAATACATCATCATCTGAATTATGACAGAACTTGACCGGCAGTTTGATTTCATTTCAGCTAATTTCATTAGTAATTTACATTTGCCTGAAATGTTCCCATGCCTCAAGCATGCTGTGCTCTATGTCTTCCTTTTCCTTCATGGTTTAGTCCCAACCAGATGAACATCCCATGGCACACCAGGACCACCAGTCTGCCACAGCACTGTGCAAGTTGAACCTGCAATGGTTTAGCAGTGTGCCACAGAAAATGTAGTCTGGCTGAGGTTGACTGAAGCCAGCTCAGAGGGGCAATATGTCACGTATGGAAAAATGAGACTGAGGATCTCTCTGCTGAAGATTGTATGTCCTCTTCTGTTTGCTTGTAATTTCAGTCAACGCGCTTATTGCATTGCTCACCTTAATAATCTTACCCTGTGGCACTGCATTTGGCTGGATGAATTTTTGGGGGGTGGGGAGAAATGGGAATGAATTCTCATTATTATGAGCTCTAAGACGAAGTAGTAGAAAATGCTGAGGAACAAAAAATTGACAGAAGAAAGAGCATGTATCATACTGTACTGACAGTAAAGCATCCTTTTGAAATCTTTTTATCCTGAAAGTATCAGAGGGTTATATGCTTTTGGGAAATTCTTTAAGCCTGATCTTTCAAGCTATCAAAGTGTGCATCTTTCCTGTGCCCGCACTGCATCACAAGGGTCACACAGTCCAGGGGTGCAATCTCCAGGCTTGGAAGTATTCACAGACAAGCCCCTGAGCAATCTGATCTGACTATGAAGTTGCCCCTGTTTTGAGCATAAGGTTGGTCCAGATGGCCTCCAGACATCTCTTCCAACCTAATTACTTAATGGTTCTGTACGCCACTGCCGGTCCTGCTGGAAGAACCTTGAGATTTCGGCAACGTGTTATTATTTCATGTGTATGCAACCGTGCTTTTAAAAATGATGAGCTCCTCACACTACTCAGCTAAAGAAAGGTAGGCATCTCTTACATCAGTGTCACAGTGGCATTTTGACTGTAAAAGTGTTGTTTCACAAGTGTCAGCACTGTCAGTTTCCAATTTTAAGACTCTGGTCTTCTCCATATATATAAATGGAGGAATGACAGTCCTTCTTCCTAGATTTACCATTCTCTAGAAATATGATGACACTTTGGAAAGTGCTAGAGCTCTCTGGTTCCATCCAGCACACGTATCTGTAAATGCAATAGCCCTTTTTGAAACGAATGATAATCCAGTGAGAGAACTGATGGCTCATTGGCTGCACGTCTGCTCCTGCAGCTGCTGAAGATTAAGGCAAATTTTTCAACGCTAAACTAAGAAATACAAAGTACTGATAAGTACTTACTTGCTGAAAAAGGCTGAGCTGAATCTCTAGATCCGGTACTTCTTGGAGATGTTTATTCACAGAAATAATTAACCAATAAAACAAATAATCTACTGCAGCAAACAGAAGCCAGATGCAGAGATGAATAATTACAGGGAGAAAAAAATACTGCATGTTTTTTCTGTCCTTCCTTGTGAAGCAGAAAGATGGGATTGTCACATAATCTTTTCTTTCTTTTCTGTTAAGTGGCAGAAGGCAGGGTCTCTGCTGTTGCTTTTGATGCTCATCAAATGCGATGAACTGTTTAGTGATATAAGTATTCTTGAATTTGGCAGTGTGAGTGCCCACAAATTTTTTTATAAAAAGGGCTGTTCCAAAAGAAGCCAGAAAAGTCCCCACTATAGGCAATACTTTCTGGCCTACATAGGGCAGTATAGTCAACATAAAAGATATCTGGTTAGCAACCCTTTGGATTTCTTGCTTTGTGTCATTTAGCTCTTGTTTTAATGCATCATCTGAAATTGAATAAGATGGTGTGAATTCATGCCTTAGGAACACTATATGTTTAGATAGTTCAGTGGAAAGCTTGGCTGCCTCGTAAATCCATTTTACTGCCTCGACATAGTATTTTATCAAGGCAAATTGCTCATACTCTAAATGACAGGTTATACTGTCTGCCAGAACCTTTAAGTTGTGAAAAATATTTTGGATGTTGCCGGCCACCACGACACCTGTGCCAGCAGTAATAAGAGCATGCCTGCCATTTCGCAGTCCACAAGAAAGAAGAAACAGCATGCTGAAACAGCGCAGGTGCTTGGAACAGGAGAGCGCGATCGAAAGCGAGACCCAGATGAATCCAGAAATCAGTAAGGGTGTCAAAGGGTGGTGTGCCAGGGAGAAGTGCACGCCAAGGAATAAGAGAAGGCTTGCGAGGAAGCCAACTGCAGAGCAAACTGCAAAAAGCTGCATCAGATACTTCCAGCCAGGCTTCCTTTCGGATATAAAAATTCCCCAGGCATTCTGGGCTATTGAGACAAATGTTCCCATTTTCTTCTGATTGTTGCTGACACTGCAATGGCTCATACTAAAAGGAAAGGAAAACAAAAAGGGTCACACTACTGACAATGATGTGCTTTTGACTCACTGATCAATAGTAGTTCACATTGCAAAAAACGCAGGTCTGACTCACACAGGGGCTAAACTACCCAGTGTGAGACCCAAATATTCATCCCCAATATCACATACATAAACATGGAAGAGATAAGTCTGAAAGGTATTCTGTGTTTTTTTCAAAGTATTTTTGTCCTTTTACTTTTTGTACACTTTGATTTCTCATTTGGTATACAGGCACAGCAGTTCATATGTACATATATGTGTGTGTGTGTGTATGAGGAGAGAATGAGAAGGGTGCAAGCCTCCCATAGCACCCAGTCCTTCCCCGCAGACACTACCTTTGCCTTACAGGGGCACTGGGAAGGGAACAAGGGGAGCATGGAATCTTCCCACTGGTGCTCCGATGCAGGGCAGTGGGGCTCGAAGGGCGGGGACCAGCCAGAGCAGCTGCCAAGGTGGGAGGAACAGGCAGAGCAGCATATGTGCGCTGCCCGGGGATGGGGACTGAAGCTTTCCTGCTCCAGCTGGAGGTAGGTCAGCACAGAGGGAAGAAAATGTGTCTCAGAAGCATCATTCCTTCTTTGGGTCTCTCCTGGGATAGCACAGCTACAAATTGACCCATATACATTTTTAACCCTAATTGCATGTACTTGTCACCATGTCTCCTGCCTACCAGCATGGCCGTACTGTAAATTACAGAGTATTTCTGCAAGATTCAGTTCAGTTTGGTGAGAAACAGTCTGGTGCACACATCTTTCTTTCGTCTTTTGAAGTATGATATTTATAGACCAATTTCTCCAAAGATGCAAGACTAATTTATACGCATATTAGCTTTTTAACATACTAGAATAAATAAGGTACTAATTAAATAAACTGTTGCAATTTTTCCCTATAATAGGGAACAGCTGTCTTCGCAAACACATCCTGAAGATATTACTTTGTCTTTTGTTTAGCTTGAACACAGCAGGTAGACAGGAACTAAACTATTATTTTGTACACATACTGTATATTACTGGCATTTGGCTTTATGAATTCTGCTAGCGTTCACTGCACCGTTTTCCCCTTCGTCTCATTGTAATTGGTTATTAGTTATGTCATTATTGGCTTTGCAGGCAGCAGGAGCTGAGGGTGACAGGAGCAGGCATCTGACCCCAGCTGGGCCCTTCTCGGACTGCTGGGCTCGGTGTGCAGCTTTTCCTTGGTCTTGCTTGGGCCTAATGCTTTCTAGTGCTGAGGGCTATCCTGAAAGATGCTCACTTTTTTCAGTGCTTAATAGCTTCAGTAGGGATTAAAGGTGGGCAATAGCTGTCAGGGTGGGCTTGATCCCTGGCACTATCACTCTGCTTGGGTTGTCTGAGGAAATTGCTTCCCTCCAGGGCCTCAGTGAACTCAGCTGTAAATGGAGTGTAACAGCAATTAGCAGCTCCTTCATGGGAGCAAAATTAGTTAATTAACATCCCTGAAATATGTAGAAGTTGCCATGTGTTAGTGGTGAGGTTTAACCTGGCAAGCAGCTAAACACCACACAGCTGTTCACACACACACCCCCCCACACCCCTCCCCCAGACACTCACACCCACAGCCACACGCAGTGGGATGGGGGAGAGAATCGGACAAAAAAGTAGAATTTGTGGGTTGATATTAAGACAGTTTAATAGGACAGAAAAGGAAGTGGAAAATAATAATAATAGTTATAATGATAAAAGAAGATACAAAGCAAGTGATGCATAACACAGTTCCACGCCACCCATCGACTGATGCCCAGCCAGCTCCCGAGCAGCGGCACACCAGCCAGCTTTCCCCCTAGTTTATATACTAGGCATGACATAATACAGTGTGGAACATCCCTTCGGCTTGTTTGGGTCAGCTGTCCTGCCTGTGTCCCCTCCTACCCTCCCAGCTTCTTGTGCTCTCCCTGCCTTCTCATTGGCAGGGCAGTATGAGAAGCTGAAAAGTCCCAGACTACTTAGCAACAACTAAAACATCGTTATTCTCATCCTAAATCCAAATCCCAGCACTATACCAGCTACTGGGAAGAAAATTAACTCTATCCCAGATGAAACCAGGACGGTCTGGGAAAGTGGTGCAAGTAAAACAGGGAGGAGAGGTAGCACACAAGCCACCAGACTCCAGGTTTACCAAGCGCAGAGCTATCCTTTGCTTACACAAACAGTCTGATTTGCCCTCTTCCTACTGAACTAGCAATTTTTAGGAAACGTAGTTAAAAAGGAGAGGTTCATCATCCTGGAGTCGAGCAGGACCAGACCTAACAGCCAGCAAACCCTGCCAGTGAATCCTGAACTTTCTAGGTCAGATCCTTAAACAGTATGTGCCACCACATCTTCTTGGTAGATCTAAGAAAAATTGCTCTGTGCAGTGAATAGATCTGAAGTCCTGTTCTTGACTTAAGCAGCCATAAAAAATCGAACAATAAAAAGTGAACATTCATGCAATATTCTGCAAAAACTTCCATGTGAGAAAATAACACTTTTTGAGTTTTCTCTTGCAGCACTGATTTCACAGCTGTTCTCAAGCATAGTTTCTGCATGGGTTTGTGTGTTTTTATGTATGGGTATAGTGTATTCCTGTTAATGTTTAAAAGCACGGTGTATTCCTGTTAACATTTGCAAGCATTTGGTAAATGGCTGCAATCTGTGACTGGGAGTTTGGCATGACTGCATGTAAGAATTGGAGAAAGAGTCAAGAATGAAGCCTTAAAATTAGCAAAAGCTATACTTCTGGACCAGGAGGCTGAAGACTTGCAAAATATGGATAGAATTTGAAAATCACCAAAAAGTTTCCCTTACTGGGCAGATTTGATGCTGTTACATGAGATCAGTGCACTACTCAGCACATACATGGCAGGTTTGTCCCTAACCTGCATGAACCCAGAGTCTTAAGGCGGGAAGGGCATCGTAAGGAGCCACTGAGTTTTGGAGCCTGTGCCATGGGTGGTCAGGTGTCTCTGTGTGATTGCTGAAGATTGGGGAGGAGGTGTCCCCGTCCCCTGCAGAGCCTGTCTCAGCCGCTGCAGGGGTCAGAGTCGGGCTCACAGCGTGCATCTCTGTGGCTTGTCTGACACCTCTGTTTTCCCCCATAAGATGTCAGCAACAGAAGTGAATATTCAGCACAGGAGAATCATGCAAAGGATGAAAACTCTAAACCTAAAAAGACGTGGAGGCTGAAAATTCTTGCATCAGCAGGCACTTCAACAGCTGCGAATGCTCAGGAAGGGAAACTCACGCTTTGGCTCTGAGGTAGAAATAAATCTTTGGCTAATTCAGTGCTTAAAGAAATAGTAAACTTTGTGAGCTTTCTGGAATGATTCCTCTTGAAAACACAAATCACAAAAGCTCTCCTGAAGCTGTTAGGTGCAGATACAAATTCTAACAGGAGGCTGACAAGAACAAAACCTTCATTTCAGTTGCAGTCTGAAACAAAGCATTTTTTCTTCTGTCCTGTAACATGAACTAATGTGGAGGCTGCTACCATTATTTATGTAGCATAAGGAAAGAATTATTGTTGGAAAGCAGTTTCTTGCCTTAAGTGCCAATTTCTTGCCACCATAGTTTCTTGTGATGTACGCCACAGAGGGGAGCTGGTAACTCGTGTGCTCTAGCTCTGCCTTTGAATATGATTTTTCTGTAGGGTCCAAGGGGAAATTCTCTATACCTTAGTTTCCCTGTCTAGGAAACACTTAGATCTGGAAGCATGATATTCATATGGCATGATGGCAGGAGTAATTATGAGAACAAATTCTCAAAAGGAGCCTCTGCAGCAAGGAGTTTCGGCCATACTTCTTAGAGCTTGTGATGTACTGAAATTAATGCAATATAATTAAAACGTGTTTTTCTAATTTCATTTTTAAACGAGGAAAATTTTAAAGAGGTTTTAAGATCCTGCTTGTGATATTTCAGATATTTGCTACAGTTTTCAAGTAAGCGGAGGATAGCATCAAAAATCTCTAGAAAATGTCTTTCCAGCTCAGCCACGAGCCCTGTGCTAGAGCTATGTCAATTTTTATAGTACATGATCAAACTATGTATGATTTCTTCCCTGCCTGCTATGGAGACTCCTCCGTATTCATTGTCTGAGAAGCTGTGGCTATCTTCACTACTGATTTGGTCCTGTCTTAGTCCTCATATCTGATAATGGCTTGCTACATTGAAGAAAAGAGAAAAGAGAAAAGGGAAGGGAAGGGAAGGGAAGGGAAGGGAAGGG